TTATTCAGAGCTTCTAGCTTTAGAGAATGTTCTAAGCTCCTTGAGGGAAACCAGTTCCAGTCCTCTTTGATGCTGTCTCTAGGCTATGTGGACAGGAAGAGATTGATGCTTGTGATGAGGGAGTTCCGGGCACTTCCCACAGGCTGAGATCCTGCTGCGGCCATCACCATCCCTCAGCACATAGTGGATGCGTGCCCAGGTCTCCTCATCTCTATTGTGGGCCTCGCTGATTTCTATTCATTTGTGGTGACACTTCATCAACTCGCTCTGACTTCCAGGGAAAGATGAAGACTTGATCCTCAGTGGTTCCTAGTCCTCATTCGAGTGGCACTTTCCTGAGCCACAACCTTAAGCTTTATCAGCACCAACCTGTGCCCTCACAAGGGCAGTCTGAGCAGCTTCACTTCCTAGCTATAGACTACCTTGTGTTGTTTAACATATTCCCACACTTAGCTCACTCCATCTTCACACCCTTGGCGATGGTACAGGGAATATGTATAAGTGAAGTAGCTGAGGCCTGAGGGCAAGAGAGGACCAGAGACAGAGCACTTAGAAGGAGGAGTACCTGGCTTCCATCCCTAGCACCAGAGAGAAGGAAACACACCCAGATGCAAATAAAGAACTATTTCTAGAGAAAGTGACTTTGTTGTTTGCTTGTTTTTTAGGATGCAGCTGTCTGTGAATGATGACTTTGAAACCACAGTATGCTAAACTTTTAACTTGGAGTCTGTAACTTTCATACAAACTTTGAATACACAAACATCTACATCATTGAACACTGTACTTGGGAGAGTTGATTCACCCAGTTAGTTAACAGTGCAGCCTGAAAACTCAGTGTCTATTATTGCAATAATGAAATGATGACAGTTAACCAGGTACTTGAAATAGTGCTGAATGTGGTACTTGACATCCAAGAAGGCAATAGGACAGGATGTCTTGATTCTGACCTGTGTTCTACTTATTACACTAAGTGAACTTGACAGGTGGCTGACACTCCATAGAGCTCAGTTTACTGATTTATAAAATGGAATAAAGTGACTGCTTTTAAAATGTCAGCTATGGTTTCTATTTGAGATTATATGAGCATTATGTAGCATTTTTAGACATTATTGGTAGCATACATCTATAATCTCAATGCTTGGGAAACTGAGGCTGGATAACATGTTTGAAGGTAGCCTGGATTACATACTAAGTCTAGCCTAGACCTAGCTACACAGGACATCTCAGCCTTTGGAAAAAAAGAAGACAACAAAAATCGCCATCAACTATTTCAAACAAAACTAGGAAATCAAATTCACTTATGGTATAAATATTGTTAACTGCTCATAGCTTTCTGCAAACACACACTCAATTTTGCTTAAGCAAGGTTTTTCTTTTAAAATAGTGAATAAAATGTCTTAAAAACTTATTTCTTTCTGCAAACACACACTCAATTTTGCTTAAGCAAGGTTTTTCTTTTAAAATAGTGAATATACAAATGTCTTAAAGACTTATTTCTTTAGCTTTCAGTTCCTATATATGTGTGTTTTTCCTGCAAACATGTCTGTGCACTACATGCAGTGCCCAAAGAGGCAAGATGAGGGTATCAGAACCTCTGGAACCGGAATTATAGATTGTGAGCCACTATATAGATGTACGAACTGAACCTGGGTCCTCTGCAAGAACAAGTGCTCTTAACATTTGGGACATCTCTCCAGCCCCCCAAATGCACCAATTTAAAATTTATAAATGACAATTTCTTCCCAAGCTCTGTAACATCTGTCCTTACTGACAATGATATTTCATAATTATGGTGGCTATTATTAAAACACCAGGGTCAAACTGCAGTGTGTTAATAGTTTTGAACTTGAGTGTATGATCTATAATCCACTTTCCCCACAGTTTCCATTTTCATTCCAAATGTCTGCTTCATGCCCAAGAAGAAAAGGCCACGCTTTCGCTTTGAATTTTAACCATGTTTTGAGAGCACATGAAGGTTATCCTCCATCCCCTATGTCCTACATGTCTGTCTTGCATCATTTCAATCTCCAGAGTTGGTTAATACTGTAAAGAATGTGGAGACAACCCCAGCTGACAGTGAGCCTGCACATAAAATAGCAGGACTGATAGTAGGCACCTTGCTCTTTCATTGTTTTTGTGTAGATTTCGTCACCAAATCTTAGCATCCTTTTCAGCTTGTTACCCTGAAAAATAAATGTGAAAAATTTTAAGTTAATTATATTTTCTTAAAGAATGATATATTTGGCCATATTAAATTTATCACATACTAGTATTCCTTAGTTCTCTCTATTTGTCTTTAAAGTACTTTTGTTTATATCTTTGTTTCTTTGTTCTTTGAGACAAATTGTCATAATGTGGCCCAGGCAACTCAATCCATGCTCCAGGAGCTGGTGGCAATTCTCCTGCCTGGGCCTTTCATGTACTCTGCTTGGAAGAACCACATCTGGATGATTTTTTATTTAAATTAGTGGGAAAGTGATAAGAATGATTCTGAAAATGCTTACACAAGCCTTGTGGTTGTTTTTATCTTAATATTAGCTTATAAGAATAGGTTCTGTAGGGAACATCTTTTTATTTCCAAGATGGTTTTCCCTTTTCCCTTCCAAGAATCCACAAGGGAAACCATCTTTGGAAATGGAAAAAAATGATCAATTAAGATCCTTTTCCATTTCCCAGCGTTAATTTCTGTATTGAAAGGCATGTGTTAAATTCTTAGCTGAGTAAACAATCATATGAAGTGTTTGAGCTCCACAGATAAGCAACATGCACTACACTCCCTCTTCTTCCATTCCTGTGTGGACATGCGGGCATGACACTATAAGTTCAATAAGTCAGACAGCTCCTAAGTCAGTGTCAGGATAGATACATGCAAAGCACTTCAGGTGGCATCTGGTTCACATGTGCTGAGAGTAAGCTGAGGGTGCCACCTATTCAACTCTTCACTAACATGTATCACACAGAGACACATAGTCTACACCTCAGGAAAACTGTGCTCCAGTGAGCAATCCATTTCCACAGAGTAGATGTTAAAGAGGAAAAGAGAGGCAGGCTGATAGAGCACATGTTGATTGACAGCTATCCTAATTGCTGTGAGGATCGGTGACTATCAATCATCGGGAAGAGAACCTAAGAGATGAATGAGTTGGACAAGGTAAAGTAGAGGAGTAAAGAGGAAGAAAATAAAGGAAGAAAGGACCCAGCAGGAATAAGAGCCTGGAGCAGTGTAGTGTACAGAAAGAATCCACCAGATCTGAGTGCCTGCCAGACCTTGTGCGGAGCTGAATAAACCTTCCGTGAGAAGATCGGGTCATCTGCAGGGCAAGACCTGAAGTTTTCTCATGCAAGTAAGACCCAGTCTGAATTTATTCTCTGGCCCTTTTGGTGTATAGCAAGGTGTGGGAAGCAAAGGGGCACAGATACTAAAATAAGATCTTATAGTGAGGCTCCCACTTTGTATTTTTTTTTCTGGAGTCTGGAGAGAAACCCAGAAGTCTTACATCTGCAGAGGTTTCTGATTCCAGACAGCACTCTGGAGCCCTCACAGGCAGAAGACTTGAGGTGCTGTATTGTTTATTCTGACAGACTTTCTCTTTGTGCTTAGAAGGTAGAGACAGAGTAAAGGAATAGAGCTGTCACATGGAAGGAGGAGGAGAAAGTGGAAGAAAAGGAAGAGAGGGGGCATGACTGGGATTGAGAGGAAGGATTTTGTCAATCTCAATTGAAACAGCAATTGCTACCTGAGAATCTTCCAGGTAGAAAATAGATAATGACTGGTCTGTGCTCAACCCTCATCCATCATTTCCTTTCAAACACGGGGCTTTGTGTCATGGACACTTGTTTCTTGTTTTCCATTGGAAAAAGAATATTTTGTATACAAATTGACAAAATAACAACACAAATATTTACATTTACTACACATCTATATACTCCTCCCATATGTATATACACACATATATAATATTTTCATTTTTCTCAATCATTTGAGTATATGTTGCAGCCAGAATCTCTCTTTCCCTTCAATGCTTATACACAGCAAGCATTCCTAAATGAAGGAATATTCTCTAAGATACCCAGAGATGGTTAAGAAATGCTAGCCATGTGAAAGTGATGCTCTACCTGCAGCTGATTGTGGGCTAGGCTCCCATGTCCCCAGTCCCTTCCATCATCACTGCACAGCATTTGTGATCTTCTGAGGATAAGAGCCATACTGTGAGCATTTACTGTCCATCATTTAATGATGACCTCTCTTCAATCTCTTCACTCTTCCTTTTGCTTTCAACCAGAAGACTGACATTTTTGAAGAATTCAGGCCAATATTTTGGCTCATAGCTAAGTTGGTTTTCTTTCTTTATCCCTCAGCACCAACTGTAATATAGGCAGCTGATAGCCTAAAATTCTGCGATTGGATATGCCATCCATCACTCCTGTGTTCCAGAGCTTCTGATTGGATTCAACTATGTGCTGTCCCCACTTCTCAGTATCATAAAATACCAGCCAGAAAGACGATGTGGGGATGTCCCCCGCTATTATAAAATCCTCACTCAAACACCTTAGCTAAGCAAAACTCAACTGATATTTATGCATTTTCCTAACTTCCACTAAACAGCAGGCCAGGGGAGTCTTATAAGGAACATTACATCATCTTGATTAGACCATAGCTCCTGCCCTGCTCTTGTCAGTTCTATTATGCTGAGACATGTATCTGGCATGCCTCTTTCCAATTAACTCTCTAAATCTGACAGGCCAGGTCTCTAGAAGGGAGCGTCTTTTATGAACTGTGGGCTCCACTAAGGCAGCTGCAAGCCTTCTTCACTCTGCTAGTCCTTGCTTCTCTCTCCTGCTCCATCCTGATTTTGCTTGATCTTGGGTGGCTGTATGAGATGTTTTCTCATCACCATTTTCTCTCCTCACCCCCCTTTATTACCACTGTCCAGACTAAATGATCCCAGGTGTTCTCATTTACTTACTGTTGCTATGATAAGACATTTACCAAAGCCAACTCATGGAGGAAAGAGTTTATTTCATTATACAACTCCAGGTGACAATCCATCACATGGCGATCAGGCAGGAACTTGAGGCAGGAGCCAGAAGATAGGAATTGATGTGGGGAAACTGGCTCTCCCTTTCCAAGCTCCTCAGCTAGGTGGTGGGACTTCATGCATGGACAGGTCTCGTGCACGCTGTCACAGTCACTGTGACAATTGCCCTGTAGTGTCTGGAAAACAGTTTCCTTTAAGTTATCTATCACCATTGGCTCTTACAACCTTCCAGTGCCCCTCTTCTGAGAAGAACTCTGAGCCTTGGAGAAAGGGGATAATATGTGTCCCATTTCAGGCTGAGCACCTTCTTTGCGTGCTGACCAGCCTAAGGTCTCTATGTTAATTGCTATCTACTGTAAGAAGCTTCTTGAAGATTGCTGAAAGATACACTGATAACAACAAGTCTTTTGGAATTGTTGGAATCGTATATCCCCTGAATAGAATTATAGTATTAGGGTCTTTTCTAGAGCCTAAAACCTATCTGGCTATAGTTTCTTGGCCCTATTAACAATGCTAGTTACAGGCTCTGTCTCATGGAGCAGTCCTTAGATCTTGGCTTAGATAGTTAGGGTTTCTATCTCTGTGATCAAACACCATGACCAAAAACAAGTTGGGGGGGGAATGGTTTATTTGGCTTACACTTCTGCATCATAGTCTGTTGGAATCTGTTCCAAAAATGGAGGCATATGAGGGGACTTCGCATTGCTTATGAGAAAACTCCAAGAAAACAAGAATCTTATGGGTTCAATTTTTCAAAATGACGAAATTGTCCTTGGAATGTGCTTTCATAACCCTCCCAGATGCAGTGGATACAAGTTTATTTTGGATGACTCATTACTAGTAGCTATTGTTATTTGTTTCTATGCCTCTATAGAAAGCCATGTTCTTGCCATGTCCTGCTTGCCTACCATGTGAAGCTTGCTCACCACGTGTGGCTTATCCTTGTGATTGGCCTTTTATCCCTCACAGTATAATTGTCCAATGCTCTGAACAGAGTTGTCTGTTGCATGAGACTTCAGTGTTCCTCATTTGTAGGTTCCACTCTCCCATGTTCACACTGCCAATTAGAGCAGTAAACAGTAGTCCATTACAGTAAGAAATCAAGACAAGAACTCAAGCAGTGCTAGAATCTGGAGACATGAACTGATGCAGAGGCCTTGGGAGAGGGAGTGGGTGCTGCTTGCTGGCTTTCTTATAAAGGCTTGCTCAGTCTGCTTCTTATACAGGATCACCAGCCCAAGGATGGCAGCGCCACTGCAATGGGCTGAACTCTCTCCCATCAATCAATCAATCATTAAGTAAATGCCCTACAGTCAGGACTTGTGGAGGTATTTTGTCAGTTGAGGTTCCCCCCATTCAGATAACTGTAGTTTGTATCAATTTGACATAAAACTGGACAATATAGATCTAATCAGAAAATGGTTAATCCCATACCACCCATAACCATCTTGTGCCAGTGGGCATAGCTTGTCCAGGCCTATCCTTATTATAGTTGATTGGGTTCGTAGCTGGGTGAGATTTATTAGAACTTTTCACATCTCCTAGCATGCACAGCATATTCTAGGATTATGAAAGCTAGCTAGTAGGGATGAAGCTTCCCCATAAGAACTAAGTTAGTTTATTTTCATGTCCTATGTATGACTCACGTATGTGTTGTCTTCAATAACAAGGTCTTACCACCAAGTTATGGAGAGCAACCAAGAGCACTGACAATAGTCTATGGTGTTTATGGATTTAAGGAAATTCATTGGTCAACTCAATATGAGGTAGCTAGTTCCTGGAAATGGGGTTTTTTTGCTAGCATGTAGTGTTTAGGTAGGATACTGACCTCCTATGATAGAATAACAACACTTAAACTCTTTTATCTATGTATATATTTAGGAATCTCCACAGTAGTTAAGCTTCCATGTTCATACCACCCAGAACACACCAGATCTTGTCTGAACTTTTAAATTTTAACTCTGCTTCATAGTCTGTGAAATAAGAATACAATTACTCCTAGATTTACCATGGAGTAATATAAATTGAAAATATCATAAACCACAAATCTTTTAGGAACTTGAGGTATAACTCAGTAAATGAGTTGTAAATGACTTGTATAGAATGTATGAGGCACCTGAGTTCACTGCCTGCTGACTGCTTCTAGACAAGGGGTGGAAGATTATCTAAGAAACACCGTATCTGAGTAAGCGCCTTCATTGTGGAACACTGGTATTCTCCATGTGATTGTGGAACTAGATGGAACTGCAGTTCATAGCCCCAGCTGTATCCCATCTGAAAAAAAAAAAAGATCCAAACTAAAAACACTAAGAACAGTTTCTACTGAATTCACATCACTTTTGCACTATCAGAAAGTCTAAAAGTCATAAAGGCAAGCCATGCTACACCAGGGACCTCCTGTACCATGAACAGAGTCATTTTCCTAACACAGCAAGATTTAAGGAGACATTCCTTCCCATCTTCCCTCTGGTTAAGCCTGTTTGCAGTGGTGTAGGCACCACTTACATACATTTCTTATGGGAAGGATATGCCTAAGAAACACTGGGGATTGCATTTACAGTTTTGATCCCATGTAATTGAAAATAAATGTGTTTCCTAGGTACAAGCTTAATCCAATAGTTGTTTTATTGTGAAATTAATCCTGGTATTTAAAGTAGAAAACAGTTCTTATTCTGCAGGGAAATACTGTGGAGAGAAAATGGTTCTTGCAAAAAGAAATAAACAGGCAAACAAAACAGATCAATGTAAGGAAGTAGTTTTGAAGCAATGGTCATAAGCTTTAAGGGGGCTCTTTTGATAAAGATGCTTAATTAGATCACTGACTTGTAAACACTTTGACGGTAGCCTACTTAATGAGTAAATTTTTGTTTCATGACTGAGTATCAATATCAGAAATAAAAGTTCTATGAAATAATTATTTTTCTTAAGTACATGACACATTTTCTATACCATACCCTGTCATTTTTTTAATTGCCAATTTCAACACATTAAGTTGAGAACCAAGAAGGCATAATTAAGTGTGGACTTACAAGGCTAATAAGGTTAGAATCTTGGCTCTGTCTCTTACCATCATGGTGAAATATGGATGAAATTTCTTAATCTCTCTAGGCCACCAGTAAAATGGGACTCACCACATATGTATATTATGAGTCATTATGTGGATGGAATTAAAGAACCTATAACAGTGATTGGTACATAGAAATGATATAAAAATGTTCACTACTAGCCAGTCGATGGTGGCGCATGCCTTTAATCCCAGCACTCGGCAGGCAGAGGCAGGCGGATCTTGGTGAGTGCAAGCCCAGCCTGGTCTACAAGAGCTTGTTCCAGGACAGCCTCCAAAGCCACAGAAAAACCCTGTCTTGAAAAACTAAAAAAAAAAAAAAAGAAAAAAGAAAAAAATGTTCACTACCAATATTGTTTTAACAATCCAGTTGTGTAATGTCTTGAATTTTGAAAAGTACTTCCTTGCATTGATACAAATGTTACTACCTGCCCTTCGATTGATGTTAATTGTCAGTTTGACATGATCTAAATTACCTAAGAGAAGAATCTCAAGGCAGACCTATGAGGGATTATTTAGGTTAGGGTAGCATCCTGGCGTGCCTATGGTGATTATCTTGATTAGGTTATTGTGGGTGGCCATCTTGATTATGGTGGGAAGACCCACCCATTGCAGGTGGTACCATTCCCTGAGTTGGGATCCTGGAGTATACAAAAAGGAGAAGTAAGCTAAGCACAAACACATTCACCATACCCTTCTTCCTCTTTTGGGTGTGATATAATCAGCCACTTCAATTCCTGTAGCCTTGACTCCCCTGCCATGATTGACTGTACTCTTGAACTGTGAGCTGAAATGCATTCTTGAACTGTGTTTATCAAAGGCATTTTCTCACAGAAACAGAAAAGAAAAACTAAAAACACCTACTGTCTTACCTTTCAATACACAAAGCATCAGTAAAATAACTTTAAATTCTTCAAAAGCAAATTTAATAAGTATGTTTCTTTTGAACAGAAGATGAAATAGCCCTTTGTTTAAAAAAGTCTCCCTAATACATTCATTTAAAATGAAATTCTATGTCTTTTAGGAAATCAAGTAATGATCTTTTAAAAACACAGAATATGAAAAAATATCTTGTGTGTAGTAGTATTTTATTCATTGTTGTAGTGCTTTCTATTTAAATTACTTTTAAATGTTATTTGATAGAGACCTTAACATGAGTTTTCATGTAGTCCAAGTGTTTATAGACAATAAATTAACAAGTTTACAATTTACAGATGATTTAGTGCTGCTTTATGTCTTTTACTTCTGTAACACCAAATATGTTCCATATGTTCCATGAAAAGCTAAAATGCTTAAAGTTTGAGTTGTAGATATTCCTGTGTACAGTGTAGCAATGACAGATAATTTGTAAAAAAAAAAAAAAAAATCAAACATACCTTAAACTAAAGAAGTTCCTAAGGAATATAAAACAGTCCTGGACTTGCATTTTCAGGCTTGAAAAACACACAGTTGGTTCCATGGAGTCATTCAGAGTCTTGGGCAAGATTATGAATCCTTGACTTCAATCTTGGTTTCCAAGGCCATTCTGAGGCCACTATTGAACCTCCCTGAAGGAAAGGAAGAGCATGAAAGATGTGTAGAATACTGGGCATATGGGTATCACATATGCCCTTCTTACCTCCTAGTATCAAAACTCAGTCATTTCCTGGTCACATGGTTCCACAAAGAAGGCTGGGATATGTAGTCCAGTCCATGTCCTGGCAAGGAAGTGCAGTATGGATTTCAGTGTGTAATAGGAAGCAAGGCACTTTCAAAAGGACTGCTAATGGGAATCCATCAAATCTCATAATGGAAGCAATCTTATTATTCTAAGAATAATAAGAGATATTACTTTTTAAAATTGCAAATGATAACATAAATACAAAAGCCACATATAACAAATGTATAGTTACATCCTCCAAACAACCACGAAGGAGAAAAAACCTCCCCAGGGCCCTAGAAGACCCTCCCAGCTCCCTCCTGTAACCGGAACCTCCCCGTCTCCACAAAAGAAAAACAATTCCTAGTTTCTAGGTAATCTTTTCTTTTCATATCTGGATTCAGAGTCCAAAAAAACAGTACACATTTTGTTTTATGTTACAAATAGTTGTATTTGGGGCTGGGTGCTTCTGGGTTCTTTAGCATCCTATCAAGGAATTGAAAGAAGCACACATGAATTCAAACACTAGCAAGAAAAGTTTACTCAAAAGCTAGGTGAGCATAATTTACAATCAAGACAACAAGCTACATGACTGAAGACACTCAAAGACATTTATTCCCAATTATTGTTGCTAAGGGGTATAGTGAGGATGACTCTTTGACTGACATATTAAGTTATATATTTTTCTCTAACGCACATGCCCCTTGTCACAATGTATCTGATTTTAATCATATCCACATCAAATTATGTATAATCTTAAAAGGACAAATAAAGGATTCTTTCTAAAGTTCACTTAGAGGACATAGCTTGCCTTATGGCCCATACACCTAAAATCTTTCTGTTCCAGATCATTCCCTCCTGCCTTTATACCCATACACAACCTGATTTCAACTAAATACAATCAATCTAAGATTAGTGGTCATTAAGATATTAAGAGAAGACAAAACTCACTCCATTGTTCAGAGTGGGGTGTGCATGCAATTTGGTGTAAGTGGGGGCTCTAGTTTACTAACAGATCGCTGATTGCTAGGTAGACTGTTTGCAGAATGTTTGTGTATATCCCCAAATCAAGTGGAGTTCTGGGTTTCTAAACTAGCTCCTATGCCTGCTACCTCAACCAGTCTTCTGTTTTTGGATACATCTTTAAATCTCTTTTAGTGTATCTTCCCCTTCTATTCTTTTTCTGATATTTCCCTCTTCTTGGTAATTTATTGGTCACAAAAATAAACCCCCTGACCTGTAAACTATTTCCAATCTAACTTTTAGGAGTCATATCTCATGGTCAAGTTGAGCATGTTCCTCTGTCCTAGAGAGTTGTAACTTGGGAGTTGCAAAGCCTCTATCAGTCTTCAGTGAGCCTCCTTTACAGAAGCTATATTCCATCAAGAAATGTACAGTCAGATTCCCCATTCTTTGTGGTTCACCTGGCATTGGTGTATCACCCTTTTAACCAGAAATATAAACTGACAACATTCCAATTCCATCATCAATCCTCATTTATTTTGGAACCACCTACAAAAAAACTTATGCTCCAAACACTATTTTCTTACCTGCTGGTCCGTTTTGTACAGATAATTCAGGAAAATGCTTTTCTTGGCAGGTTTACCACACATGTCTCTTTTATGTCATTAAGGGATCAGACTTAAATAAATTTTATATTTTATATCCATGCCATTTGTCATCAAACCTAAACTTTGATTCTGGTGGTATTTTCAAACTTATTCTGTAAACATTTAAATATGAGTGACCTAGCAGGGTGTTCAGGCTCTTTCTGTTAGATTTTTAATTAGCTACCTCTCAAAAAAAAAATAATGACAGACTTGTTTTGTTGGCAGTAACCTTCAGCACAGTAGTAAGAGAGCTAGGGATCTGGAGACACTCCCATCAATGTGTCATTGTTCCTAAGCCGCTCCAGGAGGCAGGACTTTGAAATGCAGTTTATTATTTCTTTTACTTTTAAGATGAAATATAAAGATGCCTCCTGGTGGCATTTCTCGCTTACAAGTTGAACTACAGAGGTTCACTGATGCTCTTTATAATATCTGTATCTCACTTTTTCCATGCAATAAATCAAGTTACTGAGAACAATGCATATGTCATGATTACTATCTTTATTCTACATTTGGAGAGAAAAGTCTCATGATAATAATACCTCCATGAACATCAACATAGATACTGAAATTTTTCATCACTTTTTGTACGTGCTTTTTTTTGCATTGGTGTTGGATGTGTATCGTCAGAGCATGCAGCCTTTGAGGATGTTTTACATATGAGGTTGGTCATTTCATAGTTGCACACTAATGTGTTCTAGCCACTTGGACACACTAAATTCAGTCTCCAATAAATCCTGGAGAATGTACTCATGGCAGCAATCTTGCTTGAGTACTTGGGTGTTCCTAACAGTTCATCTTCAGTCTTTGTAATTGACAGTCAGCCTTGCTGTGTGTAATATATCCTTAGATCCTTTTGAATGGGAATCTTTATTATATTTCTAAGCTTTTCTACCATAAAGTTTCCATGTCACAATGTGGGAATGTGATTTTGTTTCCTCTATAAGCCATCTGGCACCCTCTCCCAGATATTCAAAGTTATTTCTCACTCCTGTTCAAAGCTAAATAATTATATGAGAATATGTTTCAGTATTGACAACTCTGCTGTGCTCTTTTCAATGGGCAGTTTCAAATCTTTCTTGTTTTTACTGTTACGTTTCCTTAAAGATTTTTACCATTAGGCTCTGCTTCTGCTTTGTTCCTTATGAAGTCTTATTATATGTGTGGTGTCTGTTTTGCCTCGTTTCTCCATTCACCAGCTTTACTCAAAGTCTCCCAGTGTCTTTTCAGTACTTTATTTCAGCTTTCTTATTTTTTCATGTCTACAAAGACGTGATTTGTTACCCTTCTTAATCTTGTGTTTCTTTTTCATTCCTGAAAATGACTTTTCCTTTTATTTTGAATTGTTTGCTGAAGTCGGTTACTCAATTCTGAGTTCCTATAATTCTTATTCATATTTACATCTTTTTTTGTTGTTCCTGTTATTTCCCAGCTAGCTTGGTTCCTTTTGAAAGTACATTTCCAGTCTGTTTCCCACTTGTCTTTCTGTCCACTATCTTACCATCTTATGGGATGTTATTCTGCTCATTTTTCTCATATGGAATTTTTATTCCATCCCTTTCTTTGTTTCTTGCTCTGTAAATTTACCTGCATGAACTTTTAGAAGGAACTTCCAAAACTAAATATGCTACCCTGGACTTCCTGGTTCCCTTCCCTTACAGCTGCTACAGACCCATGTTCCCTTCCCTTCTCAGCTGCTCCTCCTGGTCTTCTGAGTTTGAAGATCTAATGACCTGTTTGTCTTCAGTGGTGTGGTAGAGAAAGGCTATACAGCATTCTGGAAGGGAGCTTTGACCTATCAAAATGAAGAGCTAATGAATCAGAAGGCAGGGAGGCAGGGACTCTTGGGGCCTTGGGGAATGGGAGGGAAGGGGACACACACCTTGTTCCTATCTCTCTGTGCAGATCCTCTGTGTCTCAGTTTAGTTGTCTCCTGTGGCCATTGCTCTAGCCGGACATCCCTTTTTTCTCTTCAGCTTTCTCCTGCCTAGTTCTTATATATCACAGGTGCTCCGCAAAATTCTCATCACTGCTCTTCACTGGCTCCCTATTTCGGGCTTGTGGACATGATTCAATATTCTTTGTTGGTTTTGACTTCGCTGCCGTGTTGTATTTGATGTGCAAAACCCTTTTTATGTAAATGACTAGCTCTTTGGAATCTCATGGAAGGCATAAAAAGAAGTACATTAGGCGGAGATTTTTCTTAACCTTTCATCAACTTTTGAGAGGCGGGTTTTAATTTCCTTTTTGAAATTCTTACTAAGCGTCACAGTATTCTCTTGAGCACTCTATACTGCATTTGTCCAAATAAGAAAGATGAAGTTTGAGAGCATGCATCCACCGACCTTGTGAGAACTGGACAACCGAGGGAGCAGCCTTTTGTCTGTTGTCAGATAAACTCTGCAATCCAAGGACTGCACTGGCTCTGTGTATCTTATGGGAGCTGGCAGGCCAGGCTTTGAAGTCATGCTCATCTCCAAGCAAGAAATCTGCAGAGCTACTTAAATTCACAAATAGTTGGCCCTATCCCAGGTTTTGCTAAACTGCTATCTTTAATAGTTCAGTGAGACCAAATAATACCTTCTATTTGGATTTATTTTAAATGTTTTAAATTGTCTGTTAACTGTTATACGGGTTTACTGACCTCATCTATTGAGATACTTCATTAAGTTAGTGATGGCTTCCATCAACACTATCTGAGAAATGTAAGAGTGAGAATATTCTTGTTGGACATGAGAAACCCTGTATTAGGCAAAATAACTGCTCTCCAAGGTTTATTGTTTGTTTACTAATGGCAGTTTATAAAATCCTTCCCGATTGCGCAAGCTAACCAACCTTCCTATAAAACAAACACTTATTATTTGCATCTTCCACACCAGATATTAAGACATGGGCTCTCCAGATAGTCCATGGGAAGAATACACATACACTTCAACACATACTCAGTGGCAGCAGGAATACCCTCTAGCTGATGGGTCTGAGGAAGCCAGCAGAGGTTGGTAGGATGTCTATTTTACTTTCAGATGAGGACAAGAACTCAGGTCAGGTAGAAAGGTTTGTGGCTGAGGTAAACAAATGGTATGATGATGCAATGTGGCAAGGAAGGCTGGAACTTTAGGTACATTTTGTTTTACAAAATAGTAAGTCAGGCAGCCTCTTCAAGTTGAAGGGGTCATGGTCTAGAGGGGAAATGGTTCTTAGTAGTTACAGGCTATGCAGAGAATAGCCTTCAGCTGTGTATTCTTAGTCTTTGAAAGAAAATTAGTCCCAAATTGACTCTGAGTTAGCTGTCTGCCCATCATTTTTGCACATTTACAAAATGGATCTCATATCTTCATAAAAATTATACAAATACTCTCTGGAAGAGATTTTTGTTTGGGGAGTTTTGAGCCAATGAAGAAAGCATGAAGACCAAGAGCAGTTATGCTCAACCTATGGGTCCCAATCCCTTTGGGGACTGAATGACCCTTTCACAGGGGTCAGCTAAAACCATCTGCATATGGGACATTTACATTTACGATTCATAACAGTAGCAAACTTACAGTTATGAAGCAGCAATGAGCATAATGTTATGGTTGTGGGTCACAACATGAGAAACTGTTTTAAGGAGTGACAGCGTTAGGAAGGGTGAGACCCACTGCTCTAGAGGCTCCCGTTCACTCGGCACCATACCAGTAGCCAATTCAGCATTCTTGGAAAGTCTTATAAGAGCTACTAAAGAAAAAGAAGTGATTAAAAATGTAGCCCCAACTAAGACTCTAAGCAGTCCTGGAGAAGATGCCATTGATGCCCTTCCCCTATAATGAGACTGATGTTTACCTTGGTTACCATTCCTAGAGCCTTCATCCAGTAGCTGTTCGAAGCAGAAACAGGCACCCATAGCTAAGCACTGAACCATACTCCTAGAATCCAGTTGTGGAGAGAAAGGAGGATAAGCAAAGGTGCCAAGATGGTGCTGCAGAAACCTGAGTAAACAGTTTACCTGACCTAGTGAGAGCATGGAGAACCTAGTAATAAAGCTGAGGAAACAGCATTGGACCGAACCAAGCCCTCTGAATGTGGGTGCCAGCTAGGAGACCAAAACAGTCTATGGGACCTCTAACAGTGGAGCCAGTCTTTATCCCTAGAGCACAAATGGACTTTGAGAGCTAATTCCCTATGGAGGGATACTATTGCAGCCCAGATACAGCAAGATGGGCCTAGGCCCTCCCCCAAATGATACAACAGACTTTGAAGGTCCTTGGTGTAGGGCCTCACTACCCCTGGGGAGGAGTTGGGGGATGGGTTGGGGGGTTGGTGGGGAACTTGGGAGGATGGGAGGGTGAGGGAATGGGGGGATAGATATGTAAATACGAGTAGTAATTAAAGAATTTAAATAAAAAATTGTAGCCACTGAGTTTTGACAAATAGCTAATGGGAAGAGATAAGAGGCACAGAAATCTCTCACTTATCAATATCAATAATTTGTATTGTTTGTATGGATTCTAATCACCCATGAGATCCTCTTCAACTGTTCTATGCGTAAGGAATTGACAAGAGAGTTAGTTGTAATTTTTTTTACCTCAATATATTTAGAAGGTCTGAACAGGAAGTTAAACCAAAGAGGACAATTTAAAGCCACATTAAACAAGCATACACACTGTGAGATTTGATGGATGAAATCCTAAAATCTTATCAAATCACATCCTATCACTATTTACCTGGCTCCTGTATGTTTAGGTGAAAGAAAGTGTACCATGTGTGATTGTTCAAATTTACCTCATGCATGTTTGAGATTTCAAGATGTTTCAGACTTTGCATTATCAGAGACACCAACTACTAAAGTCTGTGTAATATTCCAAAGTCTGAAATATGTTCAAATCAAAATAGTATTGACCACAAGTATTATAGCTGCATTTGATTTCTGTGCCTGTTTTATCTTCTCTTCTCTTTTATTTGATGGCTTACACTAAGCAGATACATAGGTCCTTACAGTCACCTATTTCAAACACTGATAGATTATTTTATAGGAAACAAATACAGAGTCCTAATCTGGAACATCTACCAGGATTCTATCATTTTTCTTTATTGACAAATCAGTTAAACTTTTATTCCTCCTCATAAGTGTGTGTGTGCATTCAAATTAAATGGTAAAATAGAAGTAAATTATTGGTATGTAGCATGGAATTTGTGTGCATATAATTAATTAATTGTTTGTTCCCTCTTCATCATCTAGATATAATGGAATACAATTAAATGTAAATTTTTTAAAGTATTAGCAAATAGTTTGAGTGTGAAATCACACGAACAGCAAAGGTGTTTCTATTACCTAAACATTAGAAGAAAATGTGTGGAAAAAACAAAAAGAAGAAGAAAATGTGTGGATATCCCCCACAGTTCAGTGTAATCCAACACTGTCACTTTGAATCAGCCAAGAATCAATATACAGGCTGTATCCTTACTATGATACCTGAAAGGCTAAAGGAAGAAGAAAAAATAAAATGACAAAATGCTGATTTTTGTGATCACAATTAAAAAACTTTATTCTTCCAGTCTATAAACTTTCTTAGATTTTTCAGTGTCTGGAATTGCATTTTGTGAACATATCCAGATATTTATTAGAAAAATGCTTCACATGGTTTATTTCAGGGTTTCACTGGGTTATAAGATAAACAGAAAGTGTTGTTCACCATGCCCTAGTGATTTTTTTAAAGAAGAAACAGGGCAATAAAGAATAGCAGTATAAGGACAGGTATACATATGTGTTTAGAACTAAATCCACAGATAAATCCATGAACATAAATGAATTTAGCATCATTAGAGACAGTGAACTTTATTTCAAACATAAGAGAATTTAGCATCATTAGAGGTCATCTTGTGTGGGGAGTAAACCTGGAATAGTTTTCTGAGGAAGATGAATAATAAGGTCTGAAGGACACATTTGAAAGAAGGTTGTTCCTCAGCAGGGGCTGGAAGCTCTTCTGTGGGTAAACCAGTTGTATGAGATGTGGCAAGCAGATTTATCTGGCTCTTGTACTACTACATGGGCCAGTATTACAAATGACATGTGGTACCCAGGTGAAGGTGGTTTTTCAGTAAATCTTTGGGATTTGAATATATACATTTATTTTGAGAGAAATGGACAAACTTACAGTGATTCACCCCTTTTCACCAGAGAGCTCCCAAATAAAATGAAGGTTCTAGCTCATAAATTATAAAATTTTATAATTGTATTCTTATATGTAGTTGTTTTCCCTGGGATTTTTAAAAATAATTTTCTCATTTCAATATTCTGTGTGATTATTTCTGTTGAACTAGTGTGACTGAGGTCACTTTTTATTTCATTTCAAGATGAAAATATATTGGTTGTCAGATGAATGAAAACAGAAGACAATGCACTGTGCATCACAGAATCGTTTTCTCTTCTAACCATGGCTGTAACATTTTCAGGTATAGCGACAGCCTCATCGCTTCAACTACAGTCTCGTCCCTATACCTGTCCTATGCCCGTATGTGCACATATAACTGCGTAATTTATCACTTTCTGTGTGTCCTTGTCTGCCTTCTCTTGACTCTCATAGTCATGTGACCCCCATGCAACGCAGAGGAGATCTCGACATCTGCTGAGGCCCTCGCTGAACTCAAGAACGTGTGGGGAAGACTCACAGGTGCGGCCCTGTCTTCTCAATGAAAACTGCTTCCAGTTCCAGTACAACCTCACAGGTAGAGTCAAAATCCACTGTGAGTCCCATGATCATTGACTAACCCCTGTGTGTGCACCCGTCCTGGCACTGGGGAGGGAGAGGACAGTGTGGGACATGAAAAATTGAGGATTTAGTTCCAGTTGCCCTTCAGGAAAACAAACATCCATTCATGGCATGTGGATGGATGGTCAGGACCACACATAATTTCTGAAGAGCAGCTTGGCTTAAAAAGATACTGCAGTAGACTTTGATTTTTCTCATGCCTTTCATAATTTCAGTAACTCAAGTCTATGATACATTTACCCCTATCACAATAAAAAAAAAATGATGAGACCTGACCAGTCATGGATGTTAAAGAGGCAACAAAAATCACATTTGATTAATTATTCAGCCACTATAGTTGTCTGAACACACAGGACAGTGCCCAAAACAAAAAGAGTTGCTATTACACTTAACGGCTTCCTACCATTGCCCCCAGCAGGGGATATGCAAAAGGCCTCCAAATGTAGGACTGTGTTAGGTCTAAACATTGAAGTAAATATTTAGTAACACACCACCATATGACTGCAGAGACAAAACAGCATCCTTTGCCAAAACTTGCCTGCTCCATGCACACTGAAACAGCTTAGATTCCTCATGGTGAAAACCTTGTAAATTCTATGCAGGTGTCTGGTTCTTTCACGGGTGAATGACAACATGGTAGATTCACCATTTTTCTTCCAAACTTTCGTTTGTATAGTAATTTTTCAGAAATACAACCGAATTTTGTTATATTGAAAAAGCTCATTTTCTAAGGATGAACTTTCTTTAACCATACATAAGTTTGTTACTAAGCTCTTAAATATAGAAAAAAATCTGAAGAGATTTTTATTAACATGGTCAAGGATCTTTCACCCCCCCCAAACATTTATAAGTTTTCTTTCCTTGTATTAAGTCAATTTAATTATGGGGGAGGGGCAGAAGGGGCCAGAGTCAATTTGCATGGCCATGGTCCAGTATTTTAAATACCACTAGCCTACACTATAAAACTTACTTGCCCAGGGATGGTGCCATTGAGCAGTCTGGCAGGATGTCTCCAGACAAGCTCCCCAGAGTCTCTTATAATAATCCCATTTCTGAGCTCCTCAACTTCTTGATCCAATCATCATCAAAAGGTCCCACTCCCTCATTCTACACCTTGGAAAGTTAAGATTTTGGGATGTGGGGCACAAACATAGAACTGTTGCCATGGTTTGGTTGTTTTCTCTCTTAATTATCCACAGCAGAAGAATAAAGAAATTCCAAACTTCATTGTTCTGGCTAGTGTCTCGTTTATCCTCCCAAATGGTTGGAATAACCTTTTGGGTTTTCATTTTGTCTTACCTCTAGAAAACCAAATTCTAGGAAATTGACTCAGTACATTTAATTTGTTTTGGTTTACTTGAGTGTTTGTCCTCTGACTCAATGATTGTACAAGGCTTTCCAAAGCTACTTAGGAAGATTGTAGCATTGTTTATGGGCTCCCCTTCCACCATGCAGATTATCATCAGAGCTTGAGTGTGCTTGGCTCACAAGTCAAGACCTTTGAAACTCAATCTTTATGCTCCTGTGCCTGTAGAGTGGAGTACATGCCAGCTGAGTGAAAACGCTTCCTGTGGCCAGGGTGTGAGGACTCGCCTGCTGAGCTGTGTGCGCAGTGATGGCAAGCCAGTTGGCATGGACCATTGTGAGCAGGTAACTTGTGTGTGATGGGATCTCTTAGACTTAGTCCTCAACCTTCACAACACCTAATAGACATTACGGACACTGGCTGCAGAGGTTTTGTGCAGCAATATATGTCACTGGTTTTGGACCTACTCAAAATAGTGGAGACAGGTCATTTTGCACTGAAGAAATGGGACCAGTAAAAAATGGAGTCGTTACTTCTAAGAACTTGTTAAAATACACTTGCTTTCCAACAAACCATTGGTATTAGTGCCTTTACTACTGTAGGGTGAGTCCTTATGTTGACAGGTGATTCATTTGCTTGTATGATAAACATGTCCTCATCACCAAAGATGGGTGCCGACTCTGGATGTAGAATACACTGACACTTTTATCAACAATTAATTTCCAGATAAGCAGTACATCTGTCTTCTTCTCAATCTATGCACAAGCCCCCCATGTCAATTTTCAAATTAGGAGGTTCTGAAGTTTTCTGATTTTATGGAATTTGCAGAAAAGCTACAACAGGACCCATTCCAAAGAAGCTGGCATTCCCTTCCCAGATGTAAATTCAGCTCTATAGGGACTGCTCAACAGAAATGAGAATGTTGTCATACTGAAGGCATCACAGAAACCATCTGCAGCATTGAAAATAGGATGCCAGTAATCATAGGTGGCTACAGAGATGTCTGTAACATGTTGACAGGTTAACAAAGGTCTGTCTCAGTTGTTGTGGCATGGGGGAAGAAAATTAAAACAAAGACTTCCTCACTACTCCTGTACCAACCCTCATTATTGTCACAATATGCTCCCTAACCAGTCGTGTGGATGTCATCCAGGATGCTGACCACGAACCACTCCACCCAAGAACAGATGCCCCAATCTGTAGTTTTCTGAAAAGGGCTCACATCCTGTAGAAGACTATTGGACAACTGTCATTGCTTTATTTAAATACTTAATTTCATTTAGTCTGCCTCTTATACACTGACTGCCTCAGGAAATGAGTCACCTATCTCCAACTGTTCCAAATAATCACTGGGTACACTCAGACCTGTCCGCACAAAGTTAACATTCTTTCCCAATGCATAAATGAGAGATACTGTAAGGGAGCTTTAAATGACAGGAGCACATTGGTGGACTGTTGCAGTTCAGATGAGTTTGGTCCTCTGTTGTTTATGAACCTTGTTACCTATTAATTGTGAGCTGCCTATGGCTGTAAGAAACACTTTCTTTTGATGTAAAGAGAGATGTAAATTGTTCTTTAATAAAAATAAGTTTCTTTGTTTTCTAAATTCTACATACCAAACATATATTTAATGACTATTCATTTAAAGAAGTCCTAGATTATTAATCTAATTATCACCTGAATAATCACAGATCCCTTTATGGTGGTTTCTTCATAACCCACTTAAAGAGTCATCACGCTGTGATAACTAATTTTAGCTTTGGGTAGCTGTACTGATAATATTTAACATGTGTTGGATGCCAAAGCTGTCCTAATTAAACATATGATCAGTGTGTGAATCACACAACACCTACTTCAGTATTCACTCTCTGAGTCTTGGAGGACTTATTCCTTCCCTGAGATATCTTCTACCTTGGTCACAATAAAATGCACACATTTTGTCTACACACAGATTTCAGAGAAGAAAGTAAGCTGTCTTGTCCATTTGTCTCCAGATTAGAACTGTAATTGCCTTGTCCACTTGCTCATTCAGGGCTTCAGATGATTGATTTTGTCTTTGGTCCTATTCTGTGTACCACTAGATTTATTACTAATTTTGATCTCTTTGTGTACTCTCAGCCCATCCCAGGTTATCTGAATGGAATGATGACATTCCTGCTTCATTGCTGACTGAGCAACATGGCAGATCCCTGTGCCATGTGACCTCATACTTTCCAAGCACCTCAGTGTCAGGTCTCTGCCAGAGTTCAGAGCTTATAATAATTTTGACTGACCAAATGTCACCCATGAAATAACAACAGTCATTTCTGTGCCTGCCGATTTATAAAACAATAGATGCTTGTTCTCCCACCACAATGTGCCAAGGTTATTTATTACAGAATAAAGGGTGCTTTCCCCCAGAAAAGAATAGTGAGTGATCTGGTTTAGTATTGAAGGTTTATCTCATTGCATTTGCAGCGTAATCTGGAAAAACCCCAGAGGATGAGTATCCCCTGTTTGGTGGAATGTGTCGCCAACTGTCAGCTCTCAGGATGGTCAGCATGGACAGAGTGTTCACAGACCTGTGGCCAAGGAGGTATGCAGTTTCCTGTGTTTGTTTCCACTGCTAAAAGCGGCTTGGTGACTGGCAAAAATCCATAGTAAACAACTGAAGCTGACCCAGGCTGGTCCAGAGAACAGACCTCTAAATTGTAACCATGGCAGATCACAAAAGAGCTGGCTAACCTATGGTCAGTATCCTGTCAGAAGATTCTAAATGCTACCAATTGAAATCATGTGGCCATGGTGGGTTTTAGACTATGTATTATGTCAGTATAGGCGAACACAATGACTAGAGACTTGTTTCTACCTGTGTACAGAAAAGGCTTGTTTTTCTTCAAGGGGGGCTAATTGACCCCATAGGTTGAGAGAAACCATAGAATGTTAACACAATTTCCCTGGAAGGTAACATCCTTATGGTGTTCTTATGAGCCACATTGGAAGTGGTGTACCTCTCTTCCTTATGTGTCCTATAAGAGGAAATTTAGTCTATATTCCTAAGCCAAGGCGAGAAGGTTAGGGCGGGAAATATAGTTTCTGATGGCTGACTGCTTCTCGGTGTTTCCCACAATGATGTAGGGGAGTGTGAGTCCTGATGAGTGGATAGTTACCAACAGCACTTTGAGGTCTCAAGACTTTGGAGTATAAGTCTACACAGTGGCAAGGGATGTGGATGCCAGAGAATTCTAGGAAGGAAGACAAATAGAGAAAGATGGCAGTTGCCAGTAGGCTAGAGCAAGAGTCTTAACGTCTACTTGGGTGAAAGGGTCCTTCCTGAAAGAAAAGCATGCAATGGGCAGAGGGTAAACTAGAGTGTTGAAGGGTACAGTGTATCAGCAAAAGAATGTCAGAAACTTGGAAGAGAAACCTAGGAAGGAATGTTGGCATTATGGTTAGTCACCAAGCAGAGAAGGAGAAGGAAGGAACTTTAAGTTGGAGGAATCATGGGATCAAGTAGAAGAAGAGATTAAGATCCTTCCTTATTGCTCACCAGCAATACTCAGAAGCCATTTTCTAGGACATGTGAAGCTGAATTACAGTATGAGCTCCCTTCTAATCTGTACAAATGGGGATAGTGGGTTATTCACCTTAGTCTTAGTCCTGGATCCATGGAGAGCTAGGCAGAAGTCAGCCTGCAACAGGAGCTGAGAACTGAGCTGTGAGATCCCAGAGAGGGCAGAGATGAAAATGGCAGCCAGGGTGTGAACTGGGAAAATGTAGCTAAGGACAGTGACTGTTTTACAAAGAGCGTCACTCATAATGGAAGTGTGGGATTCCCAGATTCTGATAATAATATTAATAATAATAATAATAATATACTACCTTCTGAACAAACAAAAGTCCCAGGAAACAAAATGCTATATTTTAGGGCCAGGATATAATGATTGTTCTACACAATTCTTAAAACATGCCTTAGAGGCAGCTTCCGTGAGGGACCACTTCTAAGTCAGATGGATATAGGTTCAAATTGTGGCTATTCAGGTATTTAATTTTGTTAAGGTCAGCAGTTTTGCTCTATTATCATATATTGATATAATAAGAACATCTCTCTGTGTGTCTCTGTCGCTCTCTCTCTCTCTCTCTCTCTCTCTCTCTCTCTCTGTGTGTGTGTGTGTGTGTGTGTGTGTGTGTGTGTTCTTCTGAAGTTTGCTACCACATACCAAAGGCACTGGGTCAGACTGAAACCTCTAACACCTTGAAGCAAAATGACCTCTTCTCTTAACTGATCAAGTTCAGGTATTTTTTCTGGGATGCTGAACCACACAGGGCTTTGTTCATGGCTTGACATTAGGGTTAGGAACTCACACACTGTCCTAGTTACGGTTTCTATTGCTGCAATGAAACACCATGACCAAAGCAACTTGTGGAGGAAAGAGTTTCTTTAGCTTATACTTCCACATCACTGTCCACCATCAAAGGAAGTCAGGACAGGAACTCAAAAAGGGCAGGGACCTCAAGACAGGAGCTGATGCAGAGGCCATGGAAGGGTTCTGCTTATTGGCTTGTTTTTCATAGCTTGCTCAGACTACTTTCTTATAGAACCCAGGACCACCATCCCAGGAAAGGCTCCACTCACAATGGGACCTACCTCCAACAATTAATAATTAAAAATGCCTTACAGGCTTACCTGAAACCTGATCTCATGGAGGCATTTTTTTAATTGAGGTTCCCTCCTCTCAGATGACTCTAGCTTGTGTCAAGTTGTCACAAAACTATCCAGCACTCAGTATATATAGCAGCTGCATTATTAGAGTGTCTGCTTCATTCATTTCTACCTCCGTCAGCATACTGGAGATCTGTATGCTGTATACAGCATCCTTCAGTAATACTGGAGATTCTAAGGCACCTAGGATTTTTTTTTTAATTCTACAGTGTGTCCAGTTATCTTTACTACCCCTTTATAACTCATCCTTTTACGTTTACTCAATATTCTTACAAACTTTTTAAAATCATGTAGATATTGTGTCTCTGTGCATGAGTGTAAGTTCCACAGAGGCCAGAAGAGGATGTTGGGTATGCTGTAGCTGAAGTCACAGATTGTTGTGAACCTTGGGTGCTGGAGACAATCTCAGGTTCTCTCCAAGAGAAGTATGCTCCTTAACCCCTGAGCCATCTCTCCAGCCCCAACTCAACTCAACATTCTTCAGTCATAAACTAAGTGATAGTTTTGAAGTAAAAAAAATGTCATAAAGTGTTTTCCTATTGACTTCTAGTGGCACACACATTCATTTTTCTATTAAACAAATATAAGTGTGCTTGTTATAGGTTGTGTTTTTGATGCCACAGTGGGAACACAGTGACAATTTCCCTGATTTCATGCAGCTCACAGTCAAGTTGGAGGACAAGTCCTAGCAAATAAACAGGCAGGGAACAGTTCATGCTGATGAAAACTCACACAGATAAGTGTTGTTCACATCTGTAACACCTAACACCACAGTCATCTCTCTTCGGCCCAAAGGTGATGTGCCTCACCCATATGCATGGCAGTCTCACCAAGGGTCATATTGGGATGGTCTGCTCCTGAGATGTAGATGGTAGCACACAAAAGTAGTTAAAGATGGCCTTTCTTGTGACAATGGCCCTTAAGGGAGACTTCTCTTGTTGCCTCCCCTGCCCTGCCCCCTCCCTCTGCTTCAGCACATGCTGCCCTCAGTGCCATCAAGATCAGACTGTGCTTTGTACCCTCTTGTCATGGTCCTTCACACAGAGCATTGCACCATCTCCCCCACTTCTGCTTCCTGATAGTCACGTCCATCTTTCCCCAGAGGCCACTATTACCCTTGTTTTGATTCTTCATGAGCTGATCTCCTCTGTCCCAATGCAACATACTAAATGCATTGTCATTTGTCCTTATCCTGTTGATTCCTGACTATAATATGTAAAACTCAAAGGGGAGAAGAGTTTGCAGCCTGAATCATGAGACTACAGGTAGCCAGTCCCTACCACTGGCTATTTTCCTTTTTCTCTCCCTAAGTAATGAAGTTCTTTGTTCTCCACACCCAAGAATATGTCTAACAGGTGGAGATAGAAAACATAGTTCTTGTTATTTTTCCTGAAAAGCCTAATTGTGCCACTGTAACAAGTAATGAGAAATAACAGCTCATCATGTCATTCCAACACTTCACCTTTACACATAGAACCCCAGAGCAAACGCTTAGTGTTAAAAATGTCACTTTACATTTTCACACAGTTCTGCTAATACAGAGGACTAATCACACAGCAATTGTCTGTTAGAAACCCACAGACAAAAGATCCCAAACCAGAACCCTACTGATGGAGAAGTCTAGGTAGTTATAGCTTTGGCCTGAATGCAACTTTCCAAAAATCCATAGAATAATAAAGACAAAGGATCCAAGTTTTCAGAAGATAAGCTATTTTCTGAACTGAAGCCATCCACATATATATGGAATAAGCTCAAGCTAATTTTTTATAAGTGGGATAATTTCTTAGGGGCATCATTTCTTTATCTGTAAACATCTTTATGTTCTAAACTGCTAGATGTAAAAATACAACTTAAAAACTTTCTACAATCCTAACATCTGGAAAATTTACCAGTAATCAAAATGCAGATGTGTTCAGTCATTCCTCTGGTCATGGGAAAAAGTTTTGCAGAGCTGATGCTTAACTATCTCACAATGTCCTCTCTGACTGTCAAGGTGAAAAATAAATTGCATCATGTATATTACTCAGTAGATGCATTCTTAGTATACAGCACTCTGCCAGGAGCTCAGGATAAACTGCACGGGACAGATAAGATCACAGGGCAAAGTACAGTGGAAAGATGAGTGATAAGACCAACACAAGAATTAGGAATATTAAGTGACACAGCAAAAATAAAATTGATGGAACATTACAAGAATCTGTCAGGAGAGAACGAAGAGGGTGAAATTGAAGAGTTGGTATTATGCCAAAGTTGAATGGACAGAGTGTGCCACAGCCTTTAAAACTACTGACACCATCACAAAGATGTTCAACACTGAATCTCATACCTGTTGATGGTATTTTTCTTGTCCCGCCTGGTCCCGCCACCACTTCAGCCCCAAATAAGCACAAAGACACTATATTATTAAACTACTGGTCAATGGTTAGGGCTTCTTATTGGCTAGCTCTGTCTTAATTATTAACCCATTTCTATTAATCTAAGTATGTCCACATGGTCTTATCTTACCAGAGAATGCCTGGCATATCCTATCTCCCTGTTCTCACATGGTGTCTTTCTCCGTCTCCCTCTGCCTATCTTTCCCAGAATCTCCTCATCTCCTAGTCCCTCTTATCTTCCTGCTTCTACTGGCTATTGGCCAAACAGTGTTTTATTCATCAACCAATAAGAGAAACATGTACAGAAGGACATTCCCCATCAACAATCTTTGTGTTTAAGGCTAGAGTTACAACCTAGAGACAGGAATATAAAAATGCTTATTATTCCATTTATATATACTTGAACCTGACCTCAACTGGATAGATAAATAATGAGTAAATAGCTCAGTCCATGGGGAAATTTGTCTATGTGTCCATTGACTTTCTATGTACCTTCCT